CACATGTGAAATCAAAGACATTGACAACATTTGACGCAATCTAGGTTGCGGGTCAAGTCATCAGTACATCACATTCACGTGTATTATCACATGTGATAAAATTGTTCTTGATGTGATACTATAATCATTCACATGCGATACTAAATCAGAGATGAGACCTTTGGCGTAACTTTGGTCGCAGGATACGTCGTCTATAAACTATCAAGTCCGCTCACATGTATTATCACATTTGATAAGAATGTTCTCGTTTTTATGCAAAATGAAGATGTTATCATTTGAATTTCCACACACACATACACACACACTTAATCATTTGAAAACTTTGAAACTTTTTGATATCAATGAGATCTCTTGAATTAAAAAGTTACTAAAAGGAAGCCCCTATACACACACACATATACATCGGTGTTCAAAAAGGCGAGTTATGGCGCATGCTATAAGACGCATCTCTGTCTTTACGATAAGGTCTATAGCATTTTTATAAAGCATGAAAGCATGACTTTTCAAAAAAAATATAGATTTTATGTTTTTACATTTTTTTTAACTTTAAATTTTACACTTTTATAGATTTATCTAATCACATCACTCGCAATTTCACGAATTCATACACGTCATAAATTCACGATTAAAATGAAGTTGTAAAATTCTTTTTCTAAATTCGATTTTGAATATTTAATCAAATATTATTTTTATAATAATAATCTATATGGTATATTTCTATCATGAATGTAACTTTTTTAATATCATTATCTGATTGAATAATATATAAAAAAACATATATGTATATATATATATATATATATATATATATATATATGAAGATTCGTATGAGAATGCAAACTATTCAAAAAAACAAGAAAAATATCGTTAATGTACAAAATCAAATATGATTTTACATTAACGTCAAAAAACGAAAGTGGACCACTTTTGAACTTGTATGATTTGTATGTAAATATATATATATATATATGTGTGTGTGTGTGTGTGAATCATGTATGATTTTATGCGTGTATATATATATACATATATAAGATATCGCTATGTCCAAATATATATATATATATACACACACAGAGACACAAACACATATATATATACACACGTATATACATATATACATAGAAAATAATTAAAGCAAGAACACTTTTATTTTACAAAAAAATGTCAATCACACGTGATACTAAATCAAAGATCATATATGCATATATATATATATATATATATATATATATATATATAAAGGTGAAGGGCACATGCGTAATGATTCTAGTAGATTGAAATAAACGTTGAAAGGCACATGCCTACGATCGATGTAAACCCCACCCACACTCTTGGTTCTAAATCCACCAATCGGATCAAATATTTCAAAATATTATATATACTTATTATTAATTATTAATTGTTAATTATTTATAATATTTTATTATAAAACTTATTTTTTAATACATATTTGTTTTCTAAATCACCATCCCTACCAACATCCACTCTGTAACATCCATCATCATAAACCCCAAATCCCAAATCTATTTTGTCCACCAATCCAACCTTTTAAGAGACAATTAATGTGTTTGAAAAATACAAAAATACAAAAAGGATTTTTAAATCCCACTTAAATAAATAAATATATATATATATATATATATATAGATAGATACATACATATATACATACATACATACACAATGCATCGTGTTAGATTAATCGGGGTTAGGTTTATATGTGACCGCCCACATTTAGTGAGGCCCATGCGATATTTCCCAAGTGTTGGATTTACAAGATCTTATATATAAAATGTGAAGGTTCGGGTTTTTATGTAAAGGGAACGGCAAGATCTAGGTGATCCAACAACTAGAAGGCCGTCCCATAAAAATGAGTAGTCTCATATAATCGCATATCAGGTTAGCCTTCTGGAGATCTTTGGAGAAAACGTATGGGCAAGATATATATGTAATCCAATTTGTCGTGTTTTTGTAGCATTAAATGATGAATTACGTGTCTGCAGTGTCAACGACTCCACAAAAAGATTGAAGAGGATGGTGACATATGAGGAAGTGCGTGCCACTTCCACCATCATATTGGCAGTATAGAATGAGGGTTGAGAATGATGACAACGACACCGGTACTTATTTTCTTAAAAACCCTCTTGACAACATAAATACGGAAAATATTTGATATATTATTTGATTTGATTAATATTGGTTATTTAATTTTTGTTATTCATAATAGTTATGATAATTGAAAATTACATATTTTCTTTAATTATCTACACTATATTATAAAACATTTGATAAAAAAAAAATTAAAAACCATCTTTTATACATGAAATACTGCTTATTAATGCATACTACTTAAAATTCAAGATTACAAGTAAATTTTGCATAAATACAACTTATTAAGCTCCATATTTGAATTCGTGTGACTAACTATGAATAAATATAATCAAATACATGATACAATTCCCATTTTAAATACATATATAAAATATAATTAGGATAATTGTTGAGTTCTAACAGAATTACGTCATCATTAAACCTAAATTAAATTATAATGAAAAAACATTATTGCTTGCTCAAAACCACATAAATTCATACTAGATATAGATGGAGACAAAAAAAAATGAAATACTAAAATCGAGATTTATCTCGTTACATTAATCATGTATCTTTGTGGTTTAAATAAACAAGTTTAGTTAATTAAAAATATGAAACAAATGAAGGGTATTAAAGAAAATAATAATATTAAAAAAAATGTGGGGTAACATGAGACGGTACAAGAAGCATTCCCCTTGGATCCTGCAACTATTATTAATTTTGTATATGCTCCGACTCCTTTCTCTCTCTCACACACAAAACACTTTCTCTCTCATACATGCATCCAAACACATACATGATATCTATACTATATTATAAAACATTTGACTAAAACTCTTAAAAACTCTTAAAACTCTTAAAAACTCTTAAAACTCTTAAACCCATTTATCCCTAACCAATTTCATCCATATCCTATTTCATCCATATCTGAATTCGTGTAACTAACTGCAGATAAACACAATCAAATACAGGATAAACATCTCTTTTTAAATATAAAAAATCTAAAATATAATTAGTATAATCATTAAATTCTAAAGAATACTTAATTATTATCTTTATAAAATTTATAATATTAAACCAAAAATAAATTGTTTTATTATTAAACTTAAATTAAATTA